GCAGAGGCAGATCCCTCTGATGTCCCTGACCCCTTTGTATTGCTCACGCCACCACAAGAAGATGCAGACGATGGCCATGGTCCTCATGTGGTGGGAAATGAGCACGATATGGAGGGTGTGGAGACTGAGTACTTTGACTGGGAGGTCGACCAAGAACTCCTGGAGAACTGGGATGAGGCTCTAGAACGACGGGGTGGACTTGAATATGCGTCGCGGAGAGATTTGTGATGGGAGCTGGTGGATGGTGGTGACTGCGGTGGATGTGCAACTGGGTGTGGTTTTGTGGAGCACCTTTTGTTTCTGGGAGCTGCGATGGTACTATTTCGTCGACTACCTATGATGTCATGGATGTGTACTACCTATGTCGAGTGTCGTGCGATTTTATGCTGCTGACAAGGGTGGCAATTATGTTTCACTGCGTGCCTCAGCGCGAGGGGATTCGATGGGAGGGTCGGGTCTAGCACGTGTAAAAAAAAAAAACCCTAAACCCTAAACCCCTAAACCCCTAAACCCTAAACCCCCTAGACCCCCTAAACCCTAAACCCAAAAGTTCAGGGTTGGTGCTCCGAGAGCTGAGGTACTATCCGCGGGGACTTTGGAGCTGCATCTGGAAGCAGCTTCTCCATGCCTTCCTTCTCCTTAGGGGTACTTAGAAATAACTGTTAACTTTGGTTATTATAATCCCTAAGAAACAGCTAAAATTTTAATTTTTGCTAGGGTTCAAAGTTCAGTGTAGTTCTCTGCTTAGAGTAGGTTTGGGGTTGACTGCGAGTCTACGTGGCCGTTATTGATGATTGAGCATACTTCTAAGTTGTAGTGTAGTATAGGCCCCTAAACCCTCAACTCTAGTATAGGCTTAACACGGAGTGAACCACGTAAGTAAGGGCCCAGGCGCGGGCTCTGTTGGGTTGGGTCTGCCTGAGGTAGGTCCCCACTGCTTGGTGACCGAAGCATATGGGAGTTTCCGAAAATTAGGGTTACTTTCTTTTGGTGTCCTTATAATAAGGATCCTACTATTTAGGGCACTCTATCAGACTCCCCTATTTTCGGAAACTCTCATATAGGTAATGATTTGTAATGATGATAACAGCGTCTTTCTACATGTCGGTTCTGCCATTATTCTGTGGGGGCCAAAGGGAAGCAGCCCAGGAAATCATTGCCTGATTAGCGCCATGGCTTCATTGGTTGCTCTGGGTCTTGAAGGGGTTCAGATCGGATTCTGAGGCCTTGGGGGTGTCGGGAGTTGGGTCGTCACAGATTCCAGCTGCTTCCACGCATCCCTCATAGACCCTCATGATCTCTTCGGGCTACCCATTGGGCCAATGTAACGGGCCCATGCCAGACCGAAACATTGAATCCTTGACCCATGCAGGCTCTGAAATTTGCAAGAGCCTGTGGGCCGTAGAAGGCATTGTTCTCTACTTCTTAGTCTTGTCCTCTAAGCCTTGTTGTTATGGGGTGTGAGCCATAAACAATGTCAGGGTTCATTTAGTGTCAGGAACTCTACCCTAAGTCCTAAACCCTTAACCTTTGGTGCATACTGAATGTCTTGAGGCTATGTTTGCGTCGCCTCCGCTTTCCGACGCCGGGGCGTCGCCGGCCGCCTGATGCGGTGCCTCGCTATGAGTTTAAGGTTTAGGGTTCAGGGTTTAGGGTTTAAGGTTTAGGGTTTTGAAAGGATTTAGGGTTCAGGGTTTAGGGTTTACGTTTCAGGGTTTTGACAGGATTTAGGGTTTAGGGTTCAGGGTTTTAAGGTTTAGGGCTTTGAAAGGATTTAGGGTTTCGGGTTTGGATATCTCCAGCTTTTTTGTGTATGGTGCAGTATTTGGGGTTTCGGGTTCGGTGTTTTTCTGCCTGTTACGGTTTAGAGTGGAGGGCAGAAGCCCCCATTAACTACCCTCTATCATGCCCTACCTTAACCTGGCATAGCCGACCTTTGTAAGGACATATATAAGGAAATCATAATAAGGAACCCAAAAAAGGGTAGGTTCTTCAGGGTTAAGGTAGGCACTAGGCACCCTCAGTTAAGGGCCTAAGCCCTAACCCGGCAGTGCAAGCAATTTCTGTCTGGTTCTTAGTAAGGAATGGGGGACTGGGTTATGGGGACTACTCTTGGGGATTATCTGGGGACTACTCTGGGGATCCATCCCCCCGTTCCCTCCGAAGAACATAGACAGTCTTTGGGCATTGCCATGGTAGACACGGAGGGCCTGCAAGTCAGACTTGCTAAGACTAGGACCGAGCCTGCGCCGAATACTTTTCACCTCCAACTCCGGGGTTTCCTTGCATGAAGAAGCACTGAAGCCCGGAGGTGTTCGAGGTCAAGCGTGACTGAAGAAAACAGGTTTGGGTCGAAGTGTTGGTTGTGTGGTTATACATTATACAAAAGAGGAAGGGGTCGCCAAATAAGACTAAATGAGACGCAAAAGGCCCCTGCCACATACCTTCCAACCCTTGTATTTTCTCTCTGAAACCTCGATCTGCAGCCTATTCAAATTAATTATCAGGCCCTTACTTATATCATCCTCGTGCTCAGGCACCTGCAGGCAGATGGGTGGGGGGTGGCCGCAGGAGCAAGGGTTGTGGTGTCCGATGTAGTTTTGAACTAGGACTCCCGGTCCTGGATTTGGGGAGGGATGTACGGTGAGAGACGTCGGGTTTATGATTTAGGTTTCCGGGGCATATAGAGCCCAGTTTTTAGGGTTGCGCCTTTTGGAGTTTCAGGGTATCGGCTTTAGGTTATGGAGCGTAGCCTTAGCCCTTAGGGATTTTGAATTTAGGGTTTAAGGTTGAACTTGGGCTCGCTGGGGTAAAGTCCAAGGATCAATGTCCAACACAGGTTTACAGCAAAGTGTTGCGCCGAAATACTCCTAACTGCATTCCACTCCATGTTCCCTGAAGCTTGAAGCATGTTGGAACCTTGAAACATTATACACCGAACTCCGAATCGCAAGCCCAATAAAATCCCGACCCCAGAACCAAAACCCAACAAACTACAAGACCGTAACTGGGTGATTGTTGGACCCCAGACCCACATGGGAAGTTGTCAGAATTAGGGTGCCTTTTTGGGTACCTGAAAGTAGTTGGTGCCGTATTATAATAGGGACCCAAGAAGGGACCATAACTTTGACAACCACCCACATGACAACTTATTTTGTGAAGTCTCAGCACTCCGAGACCCCCGCAAGTTGAGTTTAACGGGCTTAGGATACCCAAAGACTCCATTATCCCTTAATCAAGGAATATTCCTTAAATTATAGTAGGATCCTTGATATATGATTTAGGGCATATTCCTTAGGGGACCTTAATATAGCACCCTAAATAGTAGGATCCTTATTATATGGACCCCAAAATACGGTACCCCTAATTTTCGGAAACTCCCATATGGCACACCGACGAAAAAAATACAAACACCGAAGCCAGGCGCAGTTAGCGGAGCGAGCCAGCGCTGGCTTGGTCCCGGGCTTGTGGTTTACTATAGGGGCCTACACAATTACCAATTCTATTTTTGGCTGGGGGTTCCTTATTGTATTTATAGAATAGTGGGCCCCCAAACCCTATTCTAATTAATTATTCAGGTCCTTATATTGGAGTTTTCCTTCCTTCACACATCCAAACCAAGCAGCTGGAACGTGTGCATCATCGGTTGGATGTGTGCATGCATATATAAAAGAGAGAGAGAGAGAGAGAGAGAGACAGAGTGAATGGATCAATGAATAGGTGGGCGGTGTGATAGCATGTACAATGTACATTGTACATCCACGACGATACATAAGTAAAGAGTTAAACAAAAGCAACGGACAGATAAATTGACCGACTGGTACTAAATACAACGATAAGTCAGTAGATAATATATGGATAAGCAAATAACACATAGTATATATGCACATATTAGGAGCGCTGATGTTCAAAGTCTTGATAGCAGTTACATCTCTGTGTAAACAGTATACCCTGGGCGTCTCGGCGCCCTGGTTTCGGCGGACCCGCTTAAGTCCTCCGTTTCTTCGCAAGGCTCATAGGATAATTATGGATGAACCACGGTATCCCCACGCAAAGCTAGATGATGCATTGTGGATTTCGAAGTAATATTAGTCCCGCGATGATGTAGAAACCCACCGACCTGCCATACAAGAACCTCGTCTGGATGCGTCCGAGTTGCGAGAGCGTAACCCTGAATTTAGAACCCTAAAGCTTTAAGCCCTATAAACCCTAAAACTTCGACTTCCCAAGAAGAAGCCCTTCATTGTAAGCGCAACGTTTCGCTTTATGTCACATAAACCCGACAGCCCTAAACCCTAAAATCCATAACTTCCTCAATTTCAGCGCTTAAGGAAACAGGTCTTTGCTGCAGGGATTGCTCGTGTGGGCCATGGATCTATGTTGCGTGGTCTTCGGCAACGTGCGCCCCCCCGCCTATGAATAATGCCCGATACAACAATGCCTCCAAAATCGTGACAGGTACCAGAAGGCTTCGGGAAGATGAGACGAGTCCGCCCCTTCCGCTCTGCTGGCGGCTTGCATTTAGTACGGTGTAGGGAGTTTGAGATTTAAGATTTAGGGTAAAAGTCGGGACCTTAGGATTATGAGTCGCACTACTACTCTCTCTATCGAAATCAGTCTGCGAGATTGTCTGTTTCCCAAGACTTATGGTAGAAGCCAGAAAGTTGGAACATTAGTAACCTCATGCCGCTAAAGGAAAGTATAAGGGATCCTAGCGCTAATCCTCCTAAACCCATGTTCCAACTTTCTGGCTTCTACTGTAAAATTATCTAACCCAGTAGTTCCTCAACCCTTCCCTACAAGCCGTGCGAAAAATACCAACTTCTGGAAGCCTGGACTTATGTCGCAAGGGCTTTGCTCGGGAAATAGAGGATTGAGGGATCTTTTACGTGCTGAATGTTGGTCTTTACTGCAATATTTGCAGGCCCCAAGGATCGATGTCCCAGGATATTGCATGAGCAACTAGTACAGAAAGAGCACGTAAGGGACATTTTTCCGCCATGCCGACGGTGCAGAAAGATGCCAAGCGCATGGCCCTCCTCGAGGAACCTGCCAGAGTGTTACGTGTTTGCACTTAACGTTTGCCCAATTCATTTGATCAGGAGTTTTACAAAGAAAAGGTGTCATGGAAGGCCCTACGTGAAGAAAGGTTTCTAGCTATGGCAGAGAAAGAAGGTGTAAGCAAGAAGAAAGCTCAAGCAAAACTCGACAGTCAGAAGGCGCGAACCTTGGTTTCAAATTTTTATTGCAAATTCTGTCCTGTCTATCCGTGAAAGGCACCCTTCGATTTCTCCTGGGTGGATGCCCCAATGAAGGGAAAGCTGGAAGCCGATTTCGTGCAAACCTCAGATAGACTGATCATTCATAAGGTCCCGAAGAGAACATAACTATGATAGATGTAGCTATCAGGTCGAAGAGCCGCATGGCAATGCCAACTTTGAATTCCTTCTGGGGTTCCTGGCATCTTTCGCAAAAGAGCTGCCTACGCAGAAAGAACAAATTGCCGTGCCGGCAAGTTTGTAGTGTGTGGCAATTGGACTGCATCCCTTCTAAAGTACTTGAACCATAGCAGGCCGTGCTGATGAAGCTGAGCGAAAACTATCCGTTGGTGAAGAAAGCTGAGGAGAAGATGATGAGACAGGCCTGGGGGGAATCTGTGCTGTTTCATTGCATCTGTTTCGTTTCATTCCGGAGGCTTGGGCTGAAGAAGAAACGAAGGTTCAAAGATCTATGGTGAGCTACGTTCTTCTGCGTGCACGCAAGAGCGAGAATACGAGGCTTGCATATTGTGAACATATGTTCTTATTTATTCTGATATTTCTGCAGGAAGAATCTTCCGAACCTGGAGATATTGAAGGAGATGGTCAGGACAGCCCGGCCGAAGCCAGAGGCGGAAGTGTGTTCTTTTCGTATTTTCGGAGTATCGTCGATTCTGCTCTCGTAGATTCTATTCTCTTTCTTGGTTTGGAGGCACGGAAGAAAGATAAGGAGGCAGAGGAGGAGGAAGATGCTGGTGTAGGGAGCGAAGGCCAAGAAGATGTAGAGGAGGAGGAAGCGATGGAATCAGACGCAGAAGAAGAGCTAGAAGTAGAAGAGACAGAGGTGGCAAAGGAGCCAGAAGCGGAAAAGGAGGAGGATGCTAAATCCGAGAAGGGTTCCAACCAAGCAAAGGAAAGCAAAGACCCAGAGAAAGAATCGGTAAAGGAGGAGGTTCCGAAATCCGAGAACAATTCCAGGGCAGCAGAGGAAATCGAAGACCCAAAGAAAGAATCGGTAAAGGAGGAGGTTCCGAAGCCCAAGAACAATCCCAGGGGAGCAGAGGAAAGCACAGACCCAGAGAAAGAATCGGTAAAGGTGGAGGTTCCGAAGTCCGAGAACGATTCCAGGACAACAGAGGAAGGCAAAGACCCGGACCCTGAAGAGAAAGTGAAGGCCTCAGGCTCCAAAGATCCGCAGACAGATGGCACGAAGGAGCCGGCACGGATTATTATGGATACTGGTACTGATTCTCAGCTTCCACCATCTGCATCCTTCCTCGAGGAATCCCTCGAGTGCTTCAAGAAGGAAGCCGAGCAGGAAGCCAAGAAAGGCGCTTTGGATGAAGCCGACAAGGTTCAAAAAGGCAATGGTGTGTTCGAGGAGCTTCAGCTTGATTGGTTGCTATGTTATTTTGGCATGTCTAGCTTCACCTCCCGACAATAGCTACTTGATAAATTAATTCTTGCAGGACCGACGTCCCCTCTGCGAGCTTGCCGGAAGCTTTGAAGAGCAGGCTGCTGCTTTCTTGGCAACGTTGAATATGGAAGCGCAGAAGATTGGTTTGGCTGGACCTGATGCTGCGAATATCATCAAGGCCTGTCGTCCTGTTCATTTGTTGCTTTTCATGTCGTGCTAGTTATCGACAAACCAGGCTCAGCAAGCGACCAGAGCGATGCTTCGACGTGCGAACAACAACCATGAGCCAGAAGGATTGCCCGAGGATCCGGAAGCTTCTGCAGACGAGGATAAAGACCCTGCGCGAGCAAAACAGAAAGGGAGAGGCAAAGGAAAACCCAAGGGCAAAGCTAAGGCCAAGGCAAAAGCGAAGGGAAAATCGAAAGCAAAAGCGAAACCGAAAGCAAAGGCCAGAGTAGACTCTTCATCTGACAAGGAGGAGGACTCAGAGGAGTCATGCGAGAAGGACAAAAAGCCGAAAAAGCGCGGCAGGACCCATGAGAAGAGCCGTCGGGAGGAGAGCCCCGAAGTTCCAGCAAAAAACTCCAAAGCAAAGACAGAGAAGAAGGCCCGCCCCGGCAGCTCCAAGCCAGCCCGGAAGCGGGAACCCAGCCGCAGCCCCAACCCGGAGTCGATGTGGGATTCGGCTTCGGAGACGGAGCCACTCAAGAATAAGAAGTTGAAGCCTCTGAAAAGAAGCAAGTCAGAAGAACGGGCGATGCGATCAACAAGCGAAGACGAGGATGAAAAGAAAGCGCCAACAGCAGATGAAGGGGACGAAGATGAGGAGGAAGAAGACGAGGCTTCTGTATTCGTATGCCTTTTAAAGACTACAAAATATCTGCACGATTTCTGTTCCAGGACCCTTCGATTCCTACGATTTATCCTACTGTGTCTCCGAGGGGCACGGGGAAGCTGCTGTCCGAGGATATCGAATTCAAACCTGTTTGTCTGTGCGAAATTGACCAATCCCATAATTTCCCTCAAGCACTTCGTGTTCAGGACCAACGTCGCCAAAAGATTCAACTGATGACCATTCTGAAGAAGCATGAGAAGCAGTTCATTCTCCCGCCTGAGAGCATTCTGAACAAGGGCTCCTCCTTCACGCTGCGACCGCCTAAAGCGGGCACTCATGAGGACCACAATGAGTGTTCCAAAATCCAGGTGATCATTGCTGGGCAGTTCTACGTCAAAGGTGTGGACGAAGATCTGCTGGCGGAGGTGAACAGCTTGTACGACACAGGCTACAAGGCTGGTATGTTCTGAAGATCGAACAGTGCTAAATATCGCAAGTGCATGTTCTGTTTGTTTCCCAAACCCCAAACCCTAAAGCCTTAAACCTGGCAGATGGACAAGAAAGACCAAGTCTGTGTCTCCTGGGGCAAGAAGATTATCAAAGCGAGCGATACTCAGCCTTCCTTGACATCGGTTTATCTTCGAAATGTGTTTCCCTCCAATCCTCAATAGTCAAGCCCCCAGCCCAGGTACAAGCACGCCCGCATGTTGGCGGGATGGATTCCTCCGAGCTGAAGCCGAAAGCGGCTCGATCTCACGAGTTGGCTGATTGAATTTTGGCCTGTCGCCCTGTCTGCTGTGCGACTACTTACACTCACACGGCTATGGCAGGTTATCTACGTAGCCACCAATCCGTTACCCCAAACCAAATCGCAGAGTTCCTTGATCCGCACAGATACAGATGGGGCCGTGGCTTTCAAGGGCCAGCAACAGCTTTCGAAGCTGCACCTGTCGTGCAAAAAATCAAACATTGTGAGAAGTGACTTTGCACGTGCTTTGTGGCATGCATGAGAGGGTTTACTGATATCTTCTTTGCCCTTCATATTCAAGGTCTTGTTTGGCTCAGGGCTTAGGGAGTATCGCAACCATGCCTCAAGAAGGCTGGACAAGAAGTCAACTAGCCTTGTCTCCATGCGCGGCTAAAGCCCTGAAGCTCATGGGGATTCCAATGTTGATGCCGGGGCCTTACCCATTTGCCCATGCATCATTCCTAACATCGTCCCGAAAAGATCACATCTTGGGAGGCTTCACATGTGCGACTTTCTGGCACAGCAGACCCCTCTTGATTCCCCCAACTCGCAAAGGGCCGGGTTCTGAGTATGATCAGAAATCTTAGAAATCTTAGATTTAAGAAACATAGCATACAAGACTCTCCTAAGGACCTCAAGCTGCTGGATCTCTACGCTGGCCGGGGGTCTGTATATAAAACCTTCTGCCCGGGTCTCATTGCTGTTCTCACCAACGATACCTCACTCTTCAGTAGCCACGACGAGGTCGAGATGATCAGAAGAGGTCGGCAGCGGTACACATGTCAGTGTAAGTGTGTGCGTGTGTGTGTGTGTGTGGTGCAACATCCACCAGTCTTGTTTGGGAGACTTCGTATTCTCTGCCATGTTCAGTGCTTATTTCGATGTCATCTACGACAAGGAGCAGGATATCTTGAGCCTGACTCTTGGAGCCTTTGGAGGGTCCAACCCGAAACCCTACACCCTTAAACCTTTAAGCCCTACCCCCTAAACCTGTAAACCCCTAAACCCTAATAACCTCCGCCTTTGGCTGGGAAGGCTTCTAATGACGGATTCAGGCTCGGGTCCAGGGTGAGACGTCGGTTTCTTGTTACGTAGAAGAATTAAGGGTTCGGGTTGTTTTAGGATTTCAATGGAACGTTGGGACGATCTAATAGAATAGAGCCTTCACTTGATCTGATCAAGTGCTAATTAAACGTCCTTGCTGCTAGACGACGAAACTGCCTGTATCGGAGAGCAAGACCTAAAGTCTATAAAACCCAAACTACTAAAATACGAGTGCCCTTACTCAGCATCCGCAGTCCTCCAAATAAGTAGTCATTGAACCCCTACACTGTCGGCCTGCACCTTAAGCCCTGAACGCTAAAGCTGAATCCCAGCCTCCAGCCGGAACTTCAGCATCTGTTATCCAGCCCAGCAGAGCCTATGCGAGCTGAGGACGGGCTTTCTGAATGCCGGCCGACTATGTCTGCGATTGATGGAAGACGGACTAGCTTCGGTCGGCTTGCCCTGCACCTCTTATGTATGGATCAATGAGGCCACGCACAAGCGCAGCGAATCAAATCCTTATGGAAATACACGCCATGCATATGTTCGCCGTGCAAACGTGTGGCTTCCCTGCACACTAGTTTCATGCCGTCGTCTTGCAACAGCTAGGCTTGTTGCTATGCAGGGAGACGGAGTCTGTCTAAGGATCACAGCGAGGACGATACTGTTATTGATGATCTGTGTCGCGAGATCGGTATATTGGATCATAGAACAGCCGCGAAGCGCGGCGGTGATTTATGATCCTCTCTACCTCGAGCTGGAGAAGATAATGGAACGTACTGGCCTCCCTTGCCTACGAACGAGATTGTCAGACACTCATGCAGATTTGACAAGCCCCTTGCAATGAAAATTCTATTGTTAGTCATACCTTCCATGCATGATTCCAGTTCCTGTCTGTCTCAGCTGGATGGGAAGCTGGGGCCACTTCTGCTCCAAAGCCAGCTTGGCGATGTCGATTGCGTGCAAGCCTCAGCAAGCTACCGGGCTTCCACATGCATGGGTTATGAAATCATCTTGACTTTTTGCTGAGTCCGTGGAGTTCACGTCTCTACAAACGATTGACAAAGCAAAGACGCCGCTCTTTGAAGCTATGCTCTGCGGGAATGGTCAAGCGACGTCTGGATGCCGATGGGAGAGTTCGAGTGTGGGGACCCCAAGTATTCAGTCCAAATCAGAAACCACCCTAGATCCTTACATACTTTCAGACCTGATAACCAATACCCCTACCTTCCGGTACCCAGAAGCCTAACACCCCAAAACCTTGAAGCCCGATATGCCGAAACCATTGCCATAGATGCCCTGAAACCCAAACCCCAGAGCTTTAAATCCCTCTAGTGCATAGTCGTCGTCGTGATATCTGTGCCAGGACCCAAAACCTTGAAACCCCAAAGGCCCTTTCAAGCCTGTTCCTAGGCCTGAAACCATAGATGCCCTGAAACCCAAACCCCGGGACTCAAAACCCCTCTAGTGCATAGTTGTCGTCGTGGTAGCTGTGCCAGGAGCCAAACCTTGAAGCCCGACATGCGCTATCAAGCCTGAAATCCTCCCAGAGACTCCAATATCCCTTAATTAGGGAATATTCCTTAAATTATGGTAGGATCCCTTATATGATTTAAGGTATATTCCCTAATTAAGGACTATTGGAGTCTCTGGGCTAGGCCTGAAACCATAGATGCCTTAAAAACCCCAACCCCCAATCTGCTATTGCTACGACTACTACTGAGTACCACCCATCCCAATTCGAAGCAGGATCCTAGGCTCCGGCAGCAGGAGAATTGGCGGTTCACCTTGATATTTAGTTACTTTATTCCGTGGGTCATGACCAAGCTCAGGGTCACTTCTTTCGGTCTTGTTTAGTGCTTCTGAGGACGGGATCTGAGAAATTGCGAGTCTCGCAGATTTATCCTGTTGGCTACGCGAGAAAGATTCTGTTGGAGCACAAGGTCTATCAGGACTGGGGATCATCGTCTAATCCAATAGTAACTCTAGACTCTAGTCTACGAAATCGAGCGGTACGTGAGAAATAATATGCAGTCTTCTCCATAACGCAGTCTTTGATTCTCATGACCTCGGTCATATGGGAGTTTCCGAAAATAGGGGGACCCTAATATGGTACCCTAAATAGTAGGATCCTTATTATAAGTACCCCAAAATAAGGTACCCTAGTTTTCGGAAACTCCCATATTGTCGATCTACATAACACACAGCCCAGAATCAATATCCTCTGCAGGAGAAACGATCGTGCTTCTTCCGAGCTCATCTAGAAGAGTTTATCAAACAGCAACTGCCCGAGAAGGCAGTGGACGCCGAAACCCCTGAAGCCCATCCTGTGTAGGCAACCTCTCCCCGATAAGCCTGTCTGTGGAGCAGGCAATGACGACCGACGAGCTCTGGAAGCATGCCAACCTTGGCAAGCTGAGATCGTTTCTGCGAGCTCAGGTGAAGGATGGCTCCTTCCGGCCAATGTCTTTAGAAGGTTTGTGAGTCCTTGCTCGATATTAAGCTCTATCGAATGATTTTCTTACACAGATTACTGATAATAATAATAAATTGTCTTGGCCAAGGCTCGCAAAGGCCACGTTTCTAGCAAATAGTGTGATACTGCATTGGCCCGTGCAAAACGCTGAGCGTGAACAAGCGTGAGCTGAGTGTGAAAGGACCCCGATACCCGTGAGAAGGCCCCCTATACTCGTGAGAAGTCCCCCAATAACCGTGAGCGAAATCCCTGCCCAACATACTGCAATCCGGTTGATGTTTTAGCTCAACACATCCAGCCATTTGGGCTAATTTAGGCTTTTGTGCAAGGTTGAAAGGCAAGCGATGCCTTCTTCAGCCCGTAGAACAGGCTTTAGCAAAGGCTACTGCCAGGGCCCACAAGGTTTTAGGAGAGATTCCTGAGAGTCCCGCTGCCTCGAAGACCACACCGCCAGCCGCCTAGCCGTCGATTTAGAGTAATTATCACGGTTGCTGGTGAGTTGTTGTTCCAGTTTTCCCAGGCAGGCCCAGAAAGGCCCATTGCGTCGGTAAGCGGTCCACGTGGAGATTTCCTCATGGCGCGATCTCATCTTGTCTGCTGCCAACTTTGGCAGGGACGGAATGTAGTTTTCCGCCCTGTTGCTGCGCAAGCCTGTGTCCACATCCATCTTCACAACACCGTCAGAGTCAACTCTGAAGGAGCCCAGAGCTGCAGCAGGCGTCTCTTGGGACGAACTCGCAGCAACGGGTGCTGCACTTGCGGCCGAACTTGCAGCATTCGCATCTCGGTGAGCTGCGAAATCTGGCCCTGCTGAGCTCGGATCTGTTCATTCTGGGCTTGCAACATCTGCCTGAAAAGGTTGACAGTGTTGTCTTCTGGACTAGGCACAGTTACCTGCTGCGGAATCCCTTCTCCGTCGAAACTGAGGCTGTTGCTGCTGCTGAAAACCCTCTGCTGCAAAGGAACTTGCTGAGGCACCTGTGCAAAAGGCACCTGAGGCACTTGACCTGCAGGCCTCAGCCGTTTGCTATTGCTCTACTACGTAGACTTAGACTGCTGCTCCGAGACAACGTGTTTCAGGTCATTCCCCAGACTCCGTCGAGACGCAAGTAGACCAGGACCTGCTTAAGGCAACACTTGTTTCATTCCTTTCCCAAGACCTATCCATGCAATACATTTTTATCCATTCCCATAATCTATGACAAAGGCCGCCGAACCCGTCAAAAAGAAGCAAAAGACTCAGGAGGCAGACGCAGTAGAGGCAAAGAAAGTTAAGGAAGCTACCAAGCCAGCAAGCAAAGCCAAAAGAACCGAAGCAAAGAACAAAGATGAGAAAGAAAGCGGTCGCCCCACAGATGAAGCTGTCCCGAACCCTGAAGCCGCCAACGACGACTGGAAAAGCAGGTCATGGCCGGATACTTATAGTACCGCTGCTTGCGGATGGGGCAGCCAAGACTGGCAGTCCAGCTCGTGGGGATGGGGTTATCATGAGGGTCATCATGATGGCTGGGCCAACAATTGGCACGGCTCCTGGAGACGAAGGCATTCGTCGTGGGAGTCAGCTCCTGAAAGCGAGGTGCCGGCAACCTTCCGTAGATCCAACACCTCTGATTCGGAGTTGGACTCGGGTGTAGTGGCTGCACTTCAGCGGCTGAGGACATTTGATCGGACGGGTGATCTGACTAAGATTGCTCAGGATCTCGAATCCAAGTTCGCGCAGATGGCAACCCCAACCAAGGTGCCGCCGTCCTTGTCGACTACACCAGGAAGCACACCCAGCCCTTCTGGGAATGGGTCCTCCGTTTCGAGCCCCACTGAGGTCTCAAGCACAGGGGCAACAGCCCAAGGACAGAATCCCGCGGTGCCAACAAAGGCACAACATGTCGAGCCGGGGCCTGCTGCGGAGACCCCAGCTGTCGAAGTCAAGCCCCAAGCTGATCAAGGGCAGGAGCCTAAATCGGAGTCAGCGCAGATTGTCCTTGCCCAAGCCGCTGAAGAAAAGAAGAAAGAGGCCGAGCCGGCCCCGAAAAGTGAAGAAAAGAAAGCCGAAGCCAAAGGAAGCCAGGACCCAGAAGCCCCCAAGCCGAAAGAAGATGAAGCAAATGAAGGTGAAGGCGAGAAGCAGAAGGAACTGACGAAAAAGGAACAGAAGAAGGCAGAGGAGCTCAGGAAGCGGAAATTGGCCGCTCACGCAAGGTACATGCGTTATTTTCGCTCGACTCGAGGTCTGGGGCTTGGTCGTTTCTACATATTATGTTCCTACTTTCTGAAAGCTTCTACCCTGCTAACCACTAAGAATCGCCGAAGACCCCGGTTGAGATCAAACGCATGGGGGAGAAGGCCAAGAACAGCACCTCGTCAATTTGCTTCTGGGTTTCTGCACCAAGCCTACTAATGACCGGCGACAACAACTATCTGCTAAACCCTGAAGCTCCCTAAGTCCAAACCCCAAACACTAAACCCGCAACAATACCCTAAATTACCAAAGCCTACCCCTCCCAAAAAACCTAATGCCCTAAATCCTGTGGCTTGCAATCGAAAACCTAAACACCGAAACCCTGGCCTTAACTTCGAAAAGCCATTTAATAGCATAGCGGTACTACAGGTTCTGGACGTTGCTTTAAATTTATGAATATGAAAGCTCTCAGCCCAACCCTCAATTACCAAAGCCTACCCCTCCCAAAACACCCGGTACCCTCAATCCTGCGGCTTACGATCTAATGCCCAAACACCAAAACCCTGGGTTTAACCTAGATCCTCAACTACGAAACCCTTTAAGCCTAAAGGCCCTACCGGTTCATACGGTTGATGATATAAATCCTGCATTACCTTAAGGACCCTAAACTATGGGAATTATGGTATATTCGTTATTATGGGCAATGCAGGATTTATATCATCAACCGTATGAAACCTGTCAGCCTCTTCCACTTTCTGGGCCGCAGTCTGAGGGTTCCACACCTCGGGAGTAGATCGGGTCTTGTGTGCGGGATACCTTAGGGGACAATGTTTGAGATATTTTGTGGTTCTAATCCATACTACGTCTTATTAGCTGTGTTTAAGTGGAAGAACTCAGCACTAAGATTCCGAGATGAATTCCATCCTGTTCGAAGCTTGGGAGAAGTGCAACGGAGACTGGAAAACATCCAGTATTTATCTCAACCTAAAGAACATCAAGAGCACGAGGCGGACCGGTGTGCGGGTGTGGATGACACGTGCCGAAGTTGTCGCGAAGTTTGGTGAGACCTCCGCAGACGCCATTATTCTTCGCAAATTGGGGGACGAGAAGCTCAAGAACAGCGAGGTGCGACGGCACCCGGAGTTGCCGGAGTCGGACGAGTTGGTACAGTACTTGATCTTGGATACCTCCAAGTTCGTTGAGCAGGAGGAGGAAATCATGGAGCAGCTGTACTCAGCCGCCGAGGTTGACTCGTCCTCCTCGGAATCTTCTGATTCCTCCGCATCCACGAAGAAAGCCAAGAAGGCAAGTCGAATAGATGATTTTGCACATAATTGTTTCCGTGGCTGTTTACTTATTATGTGTGTTACCACCAGGCCGACAGAAGCTGCCTGTTCCGGGGTACTCTTGTTATTTATTGGGCTAGGCAGCTAAAGATATCTTGAGAATTGCTAGCTTAACTCTCTCAGCTTCCCTGGGTGTTCCGTAGGAGAAGAAGGATAAGAAGAAAGGCAAAGACAAAAAGAAAAAAGCAAAGAAGGGCAAGAAGGAAAAGAAGGAGAAGCAGCAGAAGAAGAACTCAAAACAAAAAGCCGATGAGGACAAAGCCGTAGATGAGGTGTTGGAGGAACTGAAAAAAAAGCAGGAGGAAGACAAGAAGCTGGTCGCCAAAGCCAGAGGAGTGACAGCCTCATTCCACACCGCCCAAAGTTTGATAAACCCGTATTCCTGCATGCTAAGGTCATCAATAAAGCTGGCAAGAAGATTCAAGATCTCAAGACTGCTGAAGAAGACTGTGCCAACTTGCCTTGGGCTCAGTCTTCATGACCCTTATATGACAAACCGCTAGAACCCCGGATCCTACTTCCAACCCAAAAACCCGAAACCCTTCTGATCATCGAGCCCTCAACCCTCAACCCCAGATCTTCCTTCCAACACAAGAGTTCTGAAAGCCTTCAAACAGTAGGGCTTACGAGATTACAAACTAGCACAGCTTAAACCTCAATTAAATCCGGTCCTAAACCCGAAGCCCCATATCCCAATTCCAATTCTAAAGTCTCGAACCCTTTCTCATCCTCAGGGGCACGAACGTTCGCGAAGCCGCAGAGAAAGACCTGAAGGACGGGCACCATCTCTATTGCTAGGTTTATCCTGATGTTTTCTCAGTGCGAGGAATCCGCTGATAGCCTCAAAGCCAATCGTGGAAATTTGCAAGATGCAGTGGACAAGAAGGTGGGGAGCCCACGTCATTAAGATGAAAGATTGCATACCTCCTACCCACACCCCGAAACGGATCCAAAAAGTAGATCCACGAAACCGCTTCGTATCTGCATCCGCATGGGTGGTTCCAAAAAGGGATGCGTATCTACATCCATAGTAAAAGAAGCTTTTTGCACAAAGCTGTGCAGCCAGTGCGATACAAGTGGAGCAGAAGTAATTTGGCTCAAAAGTGCTGCGATCGGGAGAAAAAAGAAGAAATAAACTTATCGAGTGATTTGAGTGAGAGAAATTAGAGAGAAATATATGAAAATATATGAAGCCTGTTCAAGGTTCTGCTGTGGCCGGTGTTTGCTTGAGTGGTGTATTTTGAGATTCAGAAATTCGGGTGTCGGCGGTTTTTCGGTAGCTGTGTTAGAAAGAACACAAAACCTTAAGGGAACAAGGCGGCAAAAGCATCAACATATGACATATGTCTATAGCCTGCAGCAAGATTCATCATCATGAGCATTTTCTGACACTTGAGGCCAAAATCTGTAGATTTCAGCGATAGTCCCAACTTTCTTTGTCCCGCCTCAGGGTTTTGTGAGCTTACTGCCTTGTTTATATGTAGGATTGCCGAAGTTTTGCGAAATCTACAGTATTAGCAGGCAACAGACCCCAAACCCTAAAGCCCTTGACCCCAGAACCTTCAAGCTCGATCCCAAGCCACCCCCAGAACCTTCAAGCTCGATCCCAAGCCACCAGAGCTCATCATTCGATCGCTGCCGCCGGAGTTCTCCAGCCAGTGCAGCTGGCCAGGGTTTTAGGTGCTTGCAAGTGTCGTCATCTCCAGATCTTTGAAGTACAGTAGCAGCATAGCATCGCGGATCCTGGGCTGCGGCCAGTTCGGCACACTACTTACTTCGGATTCCGACCTTTGCTTAAAAAAACTCTACTGGGTTACTGGGGTGTGCTTCTTACTGGGGTGTGCTTCCGAAACCTCCAACCCTGGGCCTTCTTCCCCTTACATCACCAATAGGTCTTCAGATTACGGGTCTTGAGGGGGACTCAGCAGTCTGTACTGGGGTGTGCTTCCGAAACCTCAAACCCTGGGCCTTCTACCCCAAAGTTAACAAATAGGTCTTGAGATTCGGGGCACGGGTGTCGGTTTCAGCCTTAGTTTCTGTGGGCCCTCGTACTAGCGGCAAAGGCCTAGTTGAGTGCTATGCCAGTCAGGACTGTAGTGACCTCGACATGTTCTCCTAGTTTTGATCGCTCGTGCCGTGGAGATCGCCAGCCATGGCCCGACCACAGAGGAAGCCGGCCGCAGCTTCCAAGCACAGAGTTCGAAGGGTGGGGTTCAAAGACTACAAGGCTTTGGGTAAAGCTATGGCTCCCTTTATCAAGACGAAATACTTCACTACTTATACCAGCCAAAGGGACATGAAGAACATTGAGCGGAAGAAACTCGAATCTCGGCCATTCGGCTACACATCTGGAGCAATGGTTCAATATTGTTGTATTTTTTGGATACAGGGCTTGATCCTTTGGAGCACTGTGTATATTGTTGCAGTCCAGGTTCTTCCAGGCAATTTTCACAGCCACGATGTCCTTGTCCAGAACCTGGAATTTCCCAGACACAATCATCAAGAAGAGCCTCTTGCATCTTTTGAAGTTCGAGGACTCCCCAAGTCATTTGGGTCTCCGGTCTTAGGTTGTGTGGTGCTCGTGTTTTATACTATAGGAGACTACAACAGTACAGGACAAGATCAAACTGAAGGAGGAAGTTGGGGACAGCGATAAAGATGTGTGGTCGACCACGAATGCCCTTCGTTTGTCAGCTGCCTTTCGCCACTACTCCCAGAGTTCTTTGAGGAGGCGAGCCTGGCTACCCAAGGCTCACAACTCAAAATAAAGAAACCTCTACATTTATAGCTTCATGTGTTTATCGGGATCATATTTCGTGGCCCTGATGCAGGAGCATCAAAGAGCAACCAGAGCGCCATCCGACCAGAAAGCAGCGAAGAGGAAGTGTACAGTACGAATGAGGATGAAAGGCAAACAAAGGGACCCGCAGAATGATGATGAGGAGCCGGAGGATATGCAGAATGATGATGATAAGGAGGATGACAATGAGCAGAATGATGCTGAGCAGGAGGATGAGCAAAAGGACGAAGCAGGAACCGATGACAACATGCCCAGCCCCAGCATCAGCAGCATGAGCAGCAGCAGCAGCACCAGCTCTAGCAGCAACCGTTCATCAGATGAACCCGGCGAATCCCCGAAAGCTCCGAAAGCCCAGCAAGAAGAGCCAGCAAAAGATCAGCCTCCGAGCGACCCTGTAGTGCAACCAAGTACGAGGCAGGATCGAGCACACTTGTCAGATCCCTGGCTAGTTGTAATACACTGTTCACAATTCTTACAATTAAGTACTTCGGTCTGTGAACCCAAACCCAAACCTCCTCGATCTCGATCGAACGAAACCTTCTTCGCCCAGGAAGCTGCCCAATCCGCGGTGGCCAACGACTTCTTCCTGAGTGCTCTGGACAACATGTTGGCTGGAGAGGACCCTGCCGCGAGTACGTCCTTCAGTTTCTCGCATTGACCCAGATGGTTTAGGCTAGCTAGTTTCGGGAGGTTTGCTACTTCATCTGATGAGCTGGTTCAGAGGCCTGCTATTCAGTGTCGAGGTTTATGGAAGGGCTAGTTAATGGTCTAGGGTTCACGGTAAAATTAGCACATTATACTGTGCCTGGAAACAATGATCTCAGCTTTAGTACTTGGGTTGGTTCGAAATTTGAAGTCGAACTGATGATTTGTGGCTGATGTAGGGGGTTTGGGGTTTTGGGGTTTAGGGGTTTAGGGGTTAGGGGTTTAGGGGTTAGGCTTCGTTGGGTTGACAGGTTATGTTCAGGCTGGCACCAGGTCTTTATTGTGGTCCGCATCAATGCTTGCATGATCCTTTTATCTCGAGGCTGCATAGTCAAAATCGAGCTGCTAGGACTCTACCAGATTCAGCTTGTGTAGCCAATCCAGCTCCGCCTTCTTCGACTTGTAGCTCAAAGAAGCCTTAGGGTACTCGCCCTCGCTGATCTTGATCTCGATGCGGTACATATGAACTTCTAAGTAGTCCAGGAACCTGTCTTCCCTCGGTCGTCTATATATGTATAGGTGATCTACTTTATTCAGATGTGTTAGTTAATCACAAAAAATGTGCAATTCAATGCTCTTGTAGGCCGGGTTCTCATACTGATCAGCATACCCACGAAGCCACATACGCATCAAGGATCTCGTCAAACTCGTGCTTGCACCAGCTCCTTTCAATCTGCTCTCGATATCCAGTGCTTGGGCAATATCACCATCGTTGCACCGATCGTTCATGAGCAGCCACCTAGACTTCTGCTAGGACTTGCAAGCCTCGAACCAAAACTGTGCTCTGAGTCACTCGAGTATTGCCACAGCAATCAGCATGAGCCAAGGTCATCGATGTTAAATTGCAATCAACGGTTGATCCACCCCACTCATCCTCGAAGCTTCCTTCCCTTATAACCAAGCCCAAACCCTAATGTGCAGCCAAGGCTACGCCTCGCCGACGCCTGGGCCGCCACGGCGAGCCCCAGCAATCCGCATGCGAACTCCTGGCGAGATCGCTGAGAACGAGAAGAAGGACGCCGAGAACGAGAAGAAGGACGCCGAGAACGAGAAGAAGGACGCCGAGAACGAGAAGAGCCAGCCGACGACGAAGCAGAACAAGGGCACCGAGAACGAGAAGGAACAGCCGAAGACGAAGCAGAAGAAGGACACCGAGAACGAGAAGGAACAGCCGAAGACGAAGCAGAAGAAGGACGCCGCCGAGAACGAGAAGGAACAGCCGAAAACGAAGAAGCCGAAGAAGGACGCCGAGAACGAGAAGGAACAGCCGCAGCCGCAGACGAAGAAGCCGAAGAAGGACGTTGAGAACGAGCCGCAGGTGAAGGACGCCGAGGACAAGAAGGAGGACCCCGCGACGAAGAACACCGAGAACGAGAAGAAGCAGACGAAGCCGAAGAAGCAGAACAAGGACCGCGAGAACGAGAAGGAACAGCCGCACACCAAGAAGCCGAAGAAGGACACCGAGAACGAGAAGGAACAGCCGCAGACGAAGAAGCAGAAGAAGGACCCCGAGAACGACAAGGGACAGCCGAACACGAAGAAGCAGAAGAAGGGCCCCGAGAAGGAGCAGCCGACCGAGGACGCCGAGGACGCCGAGAACGACACGGAGCAGCCGCAGAAGAACAAGCCGGAGAAGAAGACGAAGCCGATCCAGGACATGGACCTAGGAGTCGTACGTGTACGCTACACGACCCAAGGGTCGAAGAACCCGATCGTGAAGCTTGAGGTTCGTGAGGACAGATTCCGGCCAACAAGCCCCTGGGTGCAGCGGTTGCAGGTGGTGATCAGAAACGACGGCGGCTTCACAGTGCAGCAGGGCTTCAACGTTTTGAAAACCTTTGCACTGTGTTATTTTCAGATGAACCTCAACCCAGGAGAAATAAATTTCAAGCTGTGTAAGTCCAGTTTGCTAGAGCATGCTTTGGAGATCGGGCATGACTGGGCAATGCATCTGTCTTGGAAGTACATCAACAAGCTGAAGCTGAAGGGCTTTCCTGAGGCGAGTCTTGGTTTACATTTAGCATGCAGTGCTGTCTTGTCCTAAGCGACGGAACCTTACTTAGACCCTATAAACCCCAAAGGTTATTGTGTTTCACTAAATCGTCGTAAGGCCCTTGGCTCCGGACGACAAGGAGAAGGAAGAGGAGGGCGAGAACAACAAGGACAGGGACAGCGAGAATGACGAGAACGAGGAGGATGAGGAGGAAGAAGACGAAAACGAGGACCTAGACAATGAAGGCTCCTTGTTCTCACGCGATGTTCAGAACTTCACCCGCTTGAATCTAATGGTACTGTTTCTGTAAACCCCCAACATTACACACCGAACAGAAAGACTCTAAGCTCTTAACCCTAAGGCCACCAGACCCTGAACCAGAAAGCTTAAACATCTGGCAGTCAACCTCTGCAACCTGAGGCTTCCAGCGGCTCGGATCGGTTGCTGACGGGATGCTGGAGCAGAACGGGGATGAGCAAGACTGAAGCCTAGCCAGCCTAGCCCAGCTCTGGACCCCTCACTATTAATGAACCGAAATCTAGCTCGAGGTCCTCGGTCTGATCGATCGAAGCATAGCCACCACATGCTGGATCGTAGAAACCTCAGATGTGCTCCGGGTGCAATCTTTTCTACATATATTGTCCTAAGCCGGTATAAGCAGTAACTTATCGGGAACCCAACAAGCTTCGACCCAAAACCCCAAGCCCTCAGGCTAGTGTGCAACCGGAAGCAAGCCGTGAGCACTCTGGGGTTTCTTCAATCCGTGCTTGAGTGGAATGATATCATAGGGGGGCCAGCTGCTAAAGGCTTTTCGAAAGCTTCGAAGATGATCCTGGGAGGGTTTCTGTCAGGAGTGAGCTCCAAGTACGCTTGTTCATTTGTTCATTTATTATGTCTGATGTCGTTCGGATCATATTGGGTAGGTCGATCGAAAGAATTACAGGGTATCAGACGAGTTGGTCTGGGGGATAATGGGTCCTGGTATGTGGTATTTCTTGAGTGGACGCAGCCTCCTAAATAGACATCAATATACACCCTGAGCCCGAAACCCCAAACCCAAAACCCTAATCCCGAGGCCCGAAATCCTAAACCCGAAACCCTAATCCCGAGGCCCGAAACCATAAACCCGAAACCCTAATCCCGAGGCCCGAAGCCCTAAACCGAAACCCTAATCCCGAGGCCCGCAACCTTAAACCCGAACCCTAATTCGAGGCCCTTGGTGGAAGTACTAGCCGAATACATAAAAGCACAGCAACCGAAACACTTCAACACCTATAGCCCTAATACTGAATACGGTATTCGAGCTCAACTCCTTGATCAGAATCAAGGCAGGGTGGCCTTGCTCGTTCCCCACTAGCATAGCAAAGCCTTAAACAAAAATCAGGCATTGCTAAATTTATCGACCAGGCCCCCTTGCACACAAAGCCCAAATCCCGGCCGAAGGCCTGTAAATCCCGTGGCCCCCTTTATCTCAGGGCCAACTTTTGTCTGTGACACCCAGCAGATGGAAGCACAGGCTGTCGGTGCAGAGATTGTAAGTAACTACTTAGCAGGGTTCAGCATGATTCAATTATCGGCATGAAGCATTATTGCTAGGATTACCTGGGCAGCACCTAGAATACGAGCATCTTGCAGTGGAGCAGTGTAGAAATTGCTGTTCATCGCTATATACTAGAGCCACGTAGTCCTGAAGTTTCTGCATTCTTCCCGCCTTGTACCCAATCCCCTTTCAGGTTGACTTGCTTCGATCAATAGTAATGCGATGAGCAGCTTAAGGCTATGGCAGCTTGTATGGATTGTTGTTCCTTGAATTTAAATTAGGGGTCCGGACAACCAGAGCTTAGGGCTTACTATTATGTGTATCCGCTTTGCAGAGAAGCCTCGTCCTGTAGCACCGATCGCACCCGCTGCTGGCGATGTTTTTGAAGCCGAGCAGCAACAAGCTGCTAGTGGACCCGCTGGGATGGCTATATCTTACATATGCTACCGTCTATGGAGGATATTGGGTTGTTGTATTCACTCTTCCTGTAGACATCTCCATAGGCCCCATGTAACAGATCTGCTACATCCCCAGCTTTTACGAAGCATCTAGATGACCTTCGATTGCAACAGGTCCCACACCGTATCACAGGTCCACTAGGTCTTGATATATACATGTATATACGTGATGCACACATGGTGCACTTGTGTATAAACATATATACACACACATATGGTTCTCCTGTGCATGTAGGGACGAGGACCCTGGAGATCTACATAGTAGGAGGTTTTAGGGTGAGGTTTTCTCTAAGTTCAAGGATACAGTCTAGGACACTCGGTGTGCACCTGTTAGGTCAAACCTCAGTGCATGTCCGCAGCGTGGCAGGCCAGACTCTCGTAGTATCTGTTCTTATCCGTAGAGCGAAAAGTCCGTTCGTGTGAGACTTCAGATCATCTTTTTATCTTCAAGCTGGTAGCGGAGCTTCTGCTACGAGCAGGGGCGATGATGCACCAGACTTACGTAGTCGTAGTCATGGCCCTTTTGTCCGGGCCAGCTGTGAGCCTCACGAGTCTAGATGGAAGTCGTGGAGAGTCGTCCGTCTCGACTGGTGAGGCCACAGTCGTAAGTCCCAGCCGCATTCCAGACGAACAGAGCGCGCACGCACGCGAGAAGTTTCCTTCACGTTACGAGGTTCCTGGAGGAGCACTTGGGTTGCTGACGCGCCGGGTACAGAAGTTCGTATGGTTGGTTGGGTGCATCAGTTCTTTTCTTTACCTTGGATGTATGTTTCAGCCGCCTCAAGGAGGCGGTGGAGCCCACAACACACTGCGCTTACCTCCACGATGGGAGCCTGCAATGGAATCCACGCTGCCTTTCAGGACGTGGCTCCAGGACCTCATGTTATGGACGATATGTACTGACCTGGCGCCACCCCAGCAGGCAGCTGCTATCATATCCCAACTTGGAGGCCCAGCACGCGATCTTGCGAGACAGCTTACGCCTCAAGAGGTGTACAATGGAGGAATTGTGAATGGTCAGGCCCTTGATCCTGTCAGTTTCCTCCTTCATGGGCTGTCGGCAAGATTCGCGCCGCTGGATGAAGAGAACCGCTTGCGAGCGGCCCAGGATCTCCTGAGTTTCAGCCGTAGGCAAGGTGAATCGGTGGATGCGCTGATTTCTCGCTTCGACATCACTCGCCAACTGGCTCGGCAAGAAGGGGGCGGCGCTGTTTCCACAGATACAGCGGCCCTCATACTGCTGAGAGCATGTGGTGTGAACAGCGAGCAGTTTCAAACCTTGACACAGCCTTTTGGATTGAGATTGCCGAACACGGAGCAGGAGTTCAGCAACATGTGCCATCATCTTCGGAGGATGGCTCATATTGTTGAGCGCCACCCAAACAACATAGCTTCAGGCTTGCGCCAGCAGAATCACTTCAGCCACACCTACATGGCTGAGGCAGACACAGGATCTTCGTATTCAGCTGAGGCCTGGACTGGATCAGGCTTGGGCGGCGATGGTGCCGCGGATATGGGCATGCCGGCGTCTGGGACGGATTGGGCCTTCGCAGCCCACACTGTTGGCACAGATGCTTCGGGCACAGACTCGGAGACCAGCTCAGATCGCGATGAGCCGTTGCCTCTTGAAGACCTTCAAGGCATGTCCAGCACGCAAGCAGATGAGTACTTGTTTGGGCAGTATCAGCAGGCGAAGAAGAGATGGAGAAGGTTTACGGGAAAACCTGTCAGATCGTTGCGCCGTGTCCTTAAGCGTAAGGGCAAAGGCAAAGGGAAGCAGCGAAGTTACCTCAACATTGATTCCTTGCTTCAGCAGTCCGCATACTTTCGGGGAAAGGGTAAGGGCGGATCAAGCAGTGGGAAAGGCTTCGGAAGGAAGCAGAACCCGAAGGGTCGTGATGGTGAGCCGCTTCGCTGTTCGATCTGCAGTTCTGTTTATCACTTGAGAGCCCGCTGTCCCCAACGTAGTGATAACCCACAGCCTTCCAGCAGCTCTTCACAGCCTCAGAGAGCCCCTCCGGCATTCACGGTAGAGCCTGCAGGAATGCATTTCGCCGCGTTTGAGAGCGAGGGTTCTTCCTGGGTTCCGGTTACTCCTAGGTCGGTCACTTCCAGTAGGATTGAAGGCCACCGTGAAGACGGTCACCGAGCCCCTAGGACTGGATCCCAGGGTTCTGCGCGTGGGCACTCTGCCCCAGCAGAAGAGCATGCATTGACCCCTGACCCGTGGACCTTGAACGCAGACCCCTGGATGCAGTGGCTGCATGATGAGACCGAGCATGCTTCGTCCACGGTGCTGCGTCCGAATGCTGCTGCCACCAGCTGGGACATTCCTGGCATAGGTAGCGTAGGGTCTAGGCAGTCCTTCGGTGAGTCTCTAGGGTTTAGTCCAACTGAGCCCCCGCCTGAGCTGCCGGCCGCAATGCGCGCTTCAACAGCAGATGTGACTGCCCCGGTGTGGTTTGCCCCAGTCCAGCAGGCTATGGCGAGTGTGCAACGACAGCACCAGCCTAGAGCCGATTCCCGCTTATCTCGGGCCAGCCACATTACGCAGGTGCCCTCTATCTTTGCACAGCGTGCCGGTCTGTCCTCGGCTAGTCCACCCGTTGACGCGCCTGGCCCTGGAACATCATCAGCCAGTGCAGCGGTTACGATGTTTGGTCAAGTCCTTGCATTCAGGGCCGAGAGACAGACGAGCCGTCAGACAGCAGCCCCAATTGTCAGCGAAGCAGCCCGTGCCCAGCCTGTTCGTGAGTTTCATGGTCATGTGAATGCCTGCTCGATTTGCCTCGAGGAGTTCCGGCCGGGAGACATTGTGTGCCGCATGACGTGTGGCCATGTCTTCCACAGCATGTGTGTAGGAGAAGCTGCAATGCGCTCTGACGTTTTGTCCGAGACTGAGGTTGTTATCTCCTGCCCCAACTGCCGTGCAGAGGTTTCCGCTAGGCACTCATGGGTATTTCCTCACATTGCCGAAGCTCAGCCTGACGGTCAACCTGAGACACAGGCCGAGCCGCCGCATCGTAATGAAGCATCCCCAGCGCCTGCAGAGCGTTCGGGTGACCCTGAAGCGGATGAGATCCATACACCTGTCCGGGAAGGTGATGCAGAGGAGTTCTCATCGCCTATGGAAAGCTTCCCCTGGTGGCCGGTGCCATCTCACACCTCTGCGCCGGCCGATGCCGCAGAGCAGACTTCCTACCATAGCAATGTTCGATTGTCTGATGGAAGAGTAGGACTCTTGGTGGATCCCGGCAGTTACGGCAACCTTGTTGGTGAGCAGTGGTTGACAGAAGCAGCTATGAGCATGCA